TTGTGATGGACTTGACCGCAACCCTGCAGAAAAACAATGAAGTTGTTTTAGAGGAAATAGTAATCAGAGGCGAAATCTAAAAGTGAACAGTAAAATCTATTTCACGAGCTGCATTACGGAAATGCACCGTTGATAATTACCAACGAAAATCGCACAATATCAATGTGAAGTTGCAAACAATTATTATCTTGGTATAGCGGGAAGAATTGCCAACATTAAGTCAGCATTCTGTTCTTTCCCAGGGTGCCTACTAACCATCATTCTTCTCATGAGGGCCATCAATCCCCTCAAGTATGAGGCCGAGACATTACAGTACTTTGACACACTCCTTCGGACGGATCCGTGCCGGGCAGGCTACTTCAGTGACCTGCGCAGCAAGTTTATCATTGAAAATGCTTTCACTAGAAACATACAACAGCCGTCTGCTAGCAGGGAGATTGACCTGTCTGGAAAGGCAAGTTAATCACCGATGTCAGATAGTGTAGTGTTTATTACCCATCTTTATAGCCAAGACCTTTCAATTTCTTGCCCTCCTGAAAAGATTAATCCATCCAGTGGAAAACACTAAGGCGTTAAGGCATTGTTAATAGCCAGATTGTACATTAGAGATGTAGATACCCCTATTCAGAAAGTACAGATGAAACAGAACAGTTTAAGAAATGAAGATATGTGCAAAAATGAAACAAAATGGCCATCTGTTATTACAGATTGAGTTTGGAGCAAAAGATGTGTCGAGTGACGGTTAAACTGGATACCCCGTGCCAGTACAGCAACAGTTTAGGTTGTGTACTTTCTTATATTTTGTTCAGAAACCCTAATTGACAGAGTGAAAGGTTTGTTTTATCAAATCATCAGAAATGTTGCCAAAAGCGATCCACTCTTACATTTGTTACGTTTTCGTCTTGCTTGTTGACAGAGCCTCACAACCCTCCGCCACACAGAACGAATGGTGCTGATGACCCGGGTCAATCTCTCGTCCAATCAGCTTCCATCTCTCAAGGGCTGCCATACGCTGCAGTGTGCACGGATGCTGTTGGCCGACAGTAATTCCATCAGGGATTTAAACGACCTCCCAGCTTTGCCTTGCTTGGAGACACTTTCATTGAAAGAGAATTGTATCCTTTTTCTCATCATTTAGAGTTTGATACTAAATGTCAACAGAAAAAGAAACACAGTCTAGGACGGGCGGGGGGGTGAAGTTAGTCAATGGCCTGTAAGAGAACACAGAGGGATTGCACTTCTTTTTTTTTCATGTTGTCCCTTACTTCCTTTCAAGCTTTTCATGGTGAAGGTGGCAAGTTAAGTAAAAGGTTTGTGGTGACACTATGCCAGGAGATCTCTTTCGAGTATGTGTAGTTCTGAAAAGAACTGGAGGTTACTCAAAGTTTCAGACAGTATGCTCTGTCCGTTGTCGGGACTCTGCCTGACAAAAGACAGGACACTTTCCTGATGATGGACAAAGCATACTGTCCAAAATGTTTGGTGCCCTCCGGTTCTTTTCGGTACCACACATACTCACAAAAGAGATCTCCTTGCATGGTATTACCACAAACCTTTTTACTTAACTGGTCCCTTACTATGTTAAAGGCACTATTACAGAGTACCAACTGCAAGGGCGTCTCTGATGGGCATGCTAAATGTGGACATTACTTTCAAACTGTAAAATGCACAGGGTGCATGACAAAATGCCAGAGGTGAACACACAATTAAGAAAAGGCCCTTAAGGTGGCCAAGGTGCGGCACAATATCATGTACCCAGAACAGTCAGTGAACGAGCATTGTGACAAAAGCTTCACGAGTCCTACTTCACGCTGGACATAACAGGTGTCGATCCGTCATGCGAAAATGGTTTCCTGAACTCCCCCATTCAATCAGCTATAACAGCTGTGCAGGATCTGGAGCCCCTGCGGTCCAGCCCCAGACTACAGAGCCTTGACCTTCGACTGAACCCCATCTGCGACATTCCAGATTTCCAGCGCAGTGTGAGGGAACTTCTGCCGCAGCTCACCGCGCTGAATGGGGAAACACTCTGACACTGACTCGTCTTGCTGGAGTTTTTCTTATTGGCCACTGCTGTGAAACAAAGTTTATCATACCCGAGGCTCCGTTGCCTAAAATTACAAAGAAATCAAAGACATACATTTCTTATTGGTTTTCAAACTCGTTTTATTTTGAACAGTTCACAAAAATAGCAAGAACATTTGTCCAAGATGTGAAGTCATTTAAGAACTTCTTAATAGTGCTTCTCGCTGTTTCTTAGCCAAAGCGTAGTTCAGGAAGAAAAGAGTCGCTTCTGTTGAAAAATAAGTATGATTTAATGGCATTCTCATCAAGTGCAAAGGAAAAAAATCATTTCTAGGCACTTCTTACTTCAACAATATTTCTAGGGAATAACTCTTCCCTTAATCTGATCAAATTATCATTGGAACAAAATAATCACTTTGCAAAAATATACTAGAATTGATGTTCTGTGTTCAGCGCAAAAAAGTACTACATTTTTACCCAAAACTCAACTTCCGTTGTGTGTGTGATATGCTAAGGAGCAGAGAATCCTCAAGAGGAGCAAGCACTGAAGGCTGGCTCAGGATGAGAGCAATCTATTCATGCCAGTTCTGAAACAAGGAGGAGAATGCAAGGTGACAGTGGACACGCCGAGAGGTCCTAATAATTACAGCGATGTCGGAGGAAACTCCCTGCAGCCTACTATACTGGATTATCTAGGATTCGTGAGCCTTTGGAGTTCATGCCCATAACATTAACAAAGCCAACAGGGCACAATCTTGAGTTGCAAGCCCTGGCTCAGGCTAAGAAGACTAAGGACTGGGTTCGGAACAACTAATCCCTTCCTCAACCCAAGTGGCACCAGAAGCGACAACGGAAGCCCCTGTGGGTTTCCACAGACAACAGCGCGACATCTTGCATAAGTTTCTGATTTATGGTCCCCTCAACATCTGCTGGCCCGAGAACATTACACTGGATTGGTTAAGAACCTATTTCTTGCGTGATACCTCCTTAAGAAGCAAAGGTTGGTAGACTCTTGATGGCTTCTCTACAGATTTCTTGGCCAGTTTTTCTTGTGCACTTACTGTGCAGCTTTCCAACACTCTGGCTCTAATGTTCAGATATGTGGAGAAATGCCAAGTACATGTAACGTCATTGTTAGCCAGTTTCCTCCTGCTCCTACCTTGCCAATCCGCATTCAAGTTGCATTGAGTTGGTACATTTTCCGGAACAGTTTGACATAAAAGTTGCTCACTTCTTGTATTCTTGTACGGAATAGTCTCTCTGCTTGATTGGATGGCAGAAGCTCTTTGGCAAGTGATCATGGCTAGTCAGTCCTCTGGTCACTGCCCTCTTAGGCTGGGGGCATCTCATCATGTCATCTCCACGCACTCTCCTCTGTAACTCAGCATGGAAATGGCAGCTTATCTACAGAAGACCACTTCCTGGTCATTTCTCAACGGTTTGGTTTCAAGCTACAAGGCTGGTCAATACTTCTTGATACTGTGTCTTGCCTCGGAGCGTTTGGCAGCATTTCCTACGTGCTTGTCCAAACTGGCCGCAAATCCTCTTGCTCTGAAAACGCTCGTGTGAGAATGTGCAATTATAATGGCCATATAAAAGCTATTGAAACAGACAAGCTGACACTTCTTGGCAGTCACTTATTCACACACTGCGGTCTTACAAAGTATGAATGGACATGTAGCTATAAAGGGGTATGCAGCTCTCAGTGTAGGGATCAGGGCCTACAGAAATGATTTCGAAAGATCTTTTTAAAGTAGAATGTAATGTTTACACAGCTTTACCCTTACCATTCGTGGTTTCTGTAATGTAATAATTAGGGCAAAACTTTGACAGAAGACAATATGCCTTTTGAGAGTTAAATTCGAATAAAATCCGGTACACTGAGTTATCTGATTGCACATAAACATAACAATTTGAATTCCCCAGACTAAAGACACTGTTGCTATACCTTGTGATTCAGGCAAGCTTTTGCCTAGCGACCACAAACTCTGGAATGGACTGGTTCCTTTGTACTTGTCCCGAATCATGAGGTACAGCAACAGTGTCTTTGGTATGGAGAATTCAAATTATGTTCATGTGAAGTTTAACTCCTTCGCACTGGGAAGCGGTAAAAATTGAGATCCCTCAGCCTGCTTTTCAGCTATCATTCTGGGCCCACGCTCGAGCGAACACGGTGAAAGAAAGCATACCCTGGCTCTTGTATATATGGTGGTTGGCCTTTGTGTGTTGCCAAGAAATGAAAAGGCCAAATTTGCATCATAATCACCAGCTTCACAATAGTCCCTCACTTTGAAAAGAGGCAACGGGAATGTGGAAGCCTGAATAGAGCCGCATGCCACCGAACAATGAGCCTTTTCACTGTATAAATCAAAGTGTGCAGAGCACGCAGGGCCACACACCGAGAATTTGCGGCTTGCCAGGTGGTCTTTGTGGCCAAGTGAGGCTGGAATTTTGGGAGCTTTCAGAAAAAAGTCCCAGCGTCAAGGGGTTACCAAACTCCGTGTAGCAAAAAGCTTATATTGAGCCACTGGAGTGCTCATTGTAACTCCCAATTATGATTTCCTCCGAATACTTTCACATGTACCTGCCTAGGCCTTGTCGCCCACAGCTTTTACCACTGGTGCGGTCAGCTAGCCCTGGACTTTGGACTTTCGATGTGTTTCACATGGGTTGTTGGCATGACTTGGGGCACCGGTCTAATGTTACAAGGGCAGTCCAAACTTTGATGGCTAAATGTGGCTAGAAATACACAACAAGCTTCAAAAAGGCTGCATAAGATATACCTTAAAACTAATGCTGTCAAGGCATGGTAACAAATGCTATGACAATACCCAACATTTACAACTGCAGGTGTCGGGACTACTTTCTCCGTGTACATACAATACTACTACATATAGTCCAAGAAAAATTTTCCATAAATGTTAATGGCAGCAGCATAGGAGGAGATATGAATGCACTAGCAGGCTTTCCTTGAACCACTGAGTTTGTAAAAATGAATGCTTCACCATAACTTCCTGACCATGATTTCAAACCCGCAGTTTGCAATGTTACTTCGACGTTTCCTTTCACCAATTACATGTACATAACAGTTGCTTAACATTCCATGTGCTATTATTCAGCAAAGTGTTCAACTTGTAAAGGTAAAAAATGTATTACGGCTGTTGTCAGTGAACTAAACGTTGAAATTTCAGGCTATTCATGGTGAAAGACAGCAATAAGAGGAAAGGTTGGTGGTAGCACCACGTGAAGGAATATATCTCTTAAGGGTATGTGTGGTTCTGAAAAGAACCGGGAGTATACTCGTTTCAAACTGCGTCGCACCCCACTGCATCCAGTCACCTTATATAAACAGCTTCATCATCAGCATCTCTTCAGTCTCCTGACGACAGACTGAGCACACAGTCTGAAACATTGAGTATACTCCCGGTTCTTTTCAGAACCACATATACTCATAAGAGATATATTCCTTCACATGGTGCTACTGCAAACCTTTCCTCTTATTGAATTAAACAATGTTTCTTCCAAACCCCATGCTCTATACTCTGGCTTGTGTAAGTAATTTGTACTATTTGTCAAATCTGGTATTAACACAGCAAAGCACAAGTTGTAATGTCTTTGTAAAGAAAATGCAATAATAAACATATGAAATGGGTGTTTTCAAGGAGAGTTGTGCTTATCTTCAAACTGCGACATTAATTTTTGTGACAACAGCCCCGAGCTATTCTGCAAAGATCCAAACACGGGTACATTTTGTGTACCTTCACATTTTCTCTTTCTTTTACCTCACTGAAGCAACTTCTTAACCCTAAAGGAGCCTGGAATCTGCCCCCCCCATAAGGCCACCTTCAACATTTTTCCCGATATTGCCACAGTACATTTTTTTCAGGAGTTCAACTTTTAGGAGTTTTTAGAGTAACCCTTTTCAGTGATTTTGACATCAACGTTGTGAAAATCAGACATACCGTTCTTGCGCAGCGAGTAATTTTCCGAGATGGGTCAGCCCAAAATGTATACTTTTTCCATGCTGGTGCTCAATGCATGTGGGTCGGCAAGCATATAGCTTTAAACTTGAAATGTTTCGATCAAAAAAGTTACTGAATTCAAACTTCACATTTACAATGATAGGGAGTATCTTTACAGGGAACCCAAGTTTTGAAAAAAATCGAGCGAGGCAGGGGTCAGGAACCCTCCCCCGTCTAGCTGTGAGATGAGCCAAAATAAACAGGCTCTTTTAGGGTCATAAGGTAGAGTTTTTTCCAAGAAAAGAATATAATTAAGGAGCAAAAGTAGCCAGCTCTGACAACATTTACCTCTTGGGCAGGCGTGGCAAAGTACACCAATTATCAACAACGAAACATTCCTTCATCACAAATTGGATAAATACTTCTTAAAACACCTTCAATGTCATCAATTTTTCTCCTATCTGAGATTACCAATGAATTCATAATGGAAATAAAACAAGAAGGATCTTAGAAGCAGAACATAAATCTAGAAATTAGGCAGAAGATATCGGATCAAAAAATCCCAAACAAGAGGATTCCCGGAGCATTCCCATTCTTCGAGAAGACGTTTCATAATGCGAGTCCCATCATCCAATCCGAAACCTAGTCTGTGACGGACTGACAATATCACTGAAGATCACCGACTGATTGCTTACTATCTCTGACCTCTGTGTTGCCCAGAGACAGTAGCGGTCCACAGGTAACATTTCAACAACCACCAGGCACTGGCCCAACTATGGCCCGAGATTTCCATACGTGCACATGTAATACAGCAGATGTTCCATGCCACTCTGGAGAAAATCCCACAATATCTTTATGAATTAAAAATTGTCACAGGAGACCCTCTTGTTGACCACAACAGCTATTTTGGTCACTACAGCTGTAGCAAACCCAGCAGCAGAAATAGCAAAAGAGTTAGCATCGCCACTTCTTAGAACAAGTTAACAAAGCTGCTTCTCTTCATTATGGAAAAGCCCCAACAGTCTCTGAAAGCAACACTGTTCACTGACAGTTGAAAGAACTTTTCAGTTGAAAAAATAGAGGCAAAATACTTGAAAAGAGAACAAATCTCCATCATCTTTGGTTTCAAAGGTGGCACTATGACAGGTATAAAACTAAAGCAGCAATTTCTACAGAATTTTATAAAAATAACAGCTCTACATTCCGTTGCAACGAGGAATGTGTAACAGATTGGAAATCATTATTAACCCCAGAATGCAGTGTTTGCATTCTTCTAACTGAGAACTTGTGAAAATATACAACAGAAATGAACAAAAACCTTGAATACTAGCACAGCGGTATACACGCAGCATTGCAGTTTACATAAAGGGTAGCTGCAATCAATTTACTTTAATACAAACCTTCCAAAACACACCTTTGTGTCTCAGTGTATTCTTATTTTCAATGTTTGTTTCGCCATTTCCAAGGGTATTTTCCAGTCTTTTTCGTTTGTATGCTAGTGAGAAGTTCATATTCATGACCAAAACTCTGATGTCATCCCCGGGAAGAAAGCCTGAATGTTACACCGGTTTGTACACAAAAAGTCCAATAGTTTAATAGATTTTGAAGGACTAAATTTTCTCTTGTTTGCTGAGTCACTGTTGTTTATGTGCAAAGCACAAAGACGCCACGGGGTCTGCTCTAAAAAAGAAAACCAACAAAACTTTTTTTTTGTATTGTGGCAAATGACATCAAAGTGAACAGAGTGCATAAAGATCGGAGTTCGCTTCTCTTGCAGCTGTGTCTGGTTACACTTCTTTTTGCTACTGATTTTATGGCTTTTAATATGTCTGTTCTTTCCACTTTTCCACTTTTTGATGAGACCTGTAGAATCACATGAGATCTTTTAGTCCAAACCGTGCACGATTATGTTGGTTGTTTAGACAATCATAAAGGCTGCAGGCGCAGGCAGCACTTGTCTCATCACATGGCAAGCTGGGCAGCCTTGGTTTTTAACCACTTTGTGCCGGGGCATTTTTCAATTTTGATGATGCTGGGCCGGCATGACTATCATTTTTTCCGTTTTCAAAATCCTTAAAAAATTCATCCTTTCACTTAATGGTCGTTTATAGCCGCATGAAGTAATCTTCAGGCACTACTCTAAGTTGATAGGTGACCTTCATTGACACCCGAGTGTTTCAGCCAAGCCTGCAGCCTTGTAAACAGAGCCCAGATTGTGCGGTGTCATATGACTGTCTTTTGTTCACGAACCTGGCTCAG